TGATAAAACCTTGTTAGGAACTTGATTTAAAGTATTTTTGAGCTTCGCCGGAGTTTCGTCGGAGTTGGTCAAAGTTCGCCGGAGTTGGTCAAAGTTCGCCGAAATTAGTCAAAGTTCAATCGAGAAGCGTAGAACGCGCTTAAGCTTAATTAAGGTGAGGACGACCGACTATGTTGCTTATAATCTTTGGGTTAATTTCATGGGATTTCCTAAGTGAATACAAATGTGATGTGCATGGGTTGTTAATGGTTAATAATGCCTAAATAAAACTACTATTGATTATAAGTATAGTATGCATGATATACAAATTTATGAATAAATTGTGTATGTTTAGATGTTATGAATATGAGTGTATGATGGTTGTATCAACCATGAATTTCATTTGAGATAGTATACTTTGATACCATGAGGAGAAGCCATGAAAGTATAAAAGTGATACTTGATATTAAGGCCAATCATGCATGAAGGAAGAATTATATTGAAATAAATAAATAACTAGCATTGAAATATTAGTTGGAAATGTTAGTTGAGAAATGGATGAATTAGATCCTAAGAATTTGAATTATAAAGAATCGGTGATTATGAGCCGGGCTCGAGACCGATGTAGATAACGGTGATTATGGGCTGGGCTCTAGACCGTAGTAGATGACGGTGATTATGGGCTGGGCTCTAGACCGTAGTAGATGACGGTGATTATGAGCTGGGCTCTAGACCGTGGTAGATAACGGTGATTATGAGCTGGGCTCTAGACCGTAGTAAATAATGATGAATTGATACTAAATGAACGGATTAACTATAATGTAATAATGCTCTGAATTGAGGGCCTCAGAGATTTAAACTTCGATTATACTTAGTATAGTTGTCATTGTACTTGTCAAATGCTTCCAAGTACTGACCTCCCCTTCACGGGGGAGGCCACCTCACAGTTTCAAGTAGAACTTGAAGGTTGCTACTACCAGCCGCTGTTTCGGGAAGTTTCTGAGAAGAAGACTTGGTTCGTGCTTCTTCCGTTCTTGTTTTGAAAACGATATGAATAATGCTCATGGATATTATTTTCTGAATATACATTTCGGGGGTTTGTATACCCATGTTTGCCAAGTGTGGCTTGAACACTTGTAATGTTGTTTCCGCTGTTTTAAAGAATAATTCACATTATGTTTGTTTATGGATGTGCTACGTGTGAATGATAATACAGACGCCTTGTATAGTATGAATGTGTTGAACTGCGGTTGACAAATCGTACTGTACGGCGGATTGTTGACGTGTCTGGTAGGTCCGGAGCGTGACAGTGTGTATAATTAATAATTTTACACTGTGTGTGTATAATTTATATTTTATCCTCCGTATGAGATAAATCAAATTAGAACAATGGAGTACTAAGAAAAGCTGCCCATGAGCTCAACTAACTTTCGCCAATAAATACAGGAAAAAACCGTCTCGAAAATAGAAAAACTAAAATTGTGGATTATTAATTTACAATAGCATTATAGTGTGTGTCTATTCAAAAACTAATGCGAAAATCTAGTGATTAACGTTATGATTCAGTCCATGTATTTCAGTTTAAGTTTAGTGCAGTCCTCTACCTCGGAAGATCTCGGGTTATGAAAATTAGGGACTGGAACAAAGCCCATTATATTCGTTCAGGTTTTTGATGGTTTGGTCGGGTTCGGGTTGAGCCGGTTAAAGCTCGGACGTGAAATGATCTCATTGTCCTTTTATATTTTAAAACATATTTTCAAATAAAATTAATCAAAAACACAAATCGCAAATAATAACACAAATATTAGTCTATACAGTCACCAACAATTCAAATCCGGAGAAGATAATTATTTTACTATTTTGTTAAAGATGCAGCAAAATAAATAATATAGGTTTTCAAAAACTATTTCAAAATAAAACTTGTGGATAAAAATGTGACTAAATTTACTATTAATATGTTTTCATGGTCATTCAGTAACCAAAATGAACATATTTGTAGTCACTAAAAGTTACTAGGTCATGTTTTCATTCACCATGACTTTTTCTTTTGCAAACCTGCCATGATTGTAATCATATATTAGGAATTATTTATAAATTATACTACCTCCGTCCCTTAAAACTTTGACAAAGTTGACCGGCACATAGAATAATAAAGTAAAAAATGTGTCGTTGATGTTTGTGCAGATGAGAGAGAAATAACAGAAACTACAAAATAATTGATTAAAAGGAAAAATGGCAAAGTTTTTTGGGGCGTCCCAAAAAGGAAATATGACAAAGTTTTTAGGGACGGAGGGAGTATTCGTATATTATATTGATTTTATATTAAAACTAATTGTTTCGGATTTTTATCGGTCCGGGCCGGGTTATAGATTTTAGGGCTCGTTTATGAGCCCGAATTTTCGGATTCGGACCGGATTTTGTTTATTCGGACCGGTTAAATAAAAAAATCCCAGACCGGGAACATTATTCGAGCCGATCAGGGTCAGTTTCCGAGTTTCGATTCGGTTTTTCCCACCCCTAGTAATACGGAGTAATTATTTCCCCTAATCAAAACCTTAAGGGTACATTTGGTTGGAGTGAATATCTTATATAGGTCGGAATCTGATACCCGGGTTGTGACATACCTGCGTTTGGTTCGCGGGTTTGATTTGTTTTGGAATGTTACATTCCCAACAAGTGAAAAAGTAATCACATGGCCCTTCATGTGAAACCCACTTAGACCTTAGGTTTTGTGACATTCCTGATTGCTTTTTAATTTTATTCCACAAACACCCCTCTTCATTAATAAGAAAACATTCACTTGCTTTTTTACTGCTAATGTTCACTAATCTTTGTCATTTGTGCAATTAAACATATTTTGCTTAGAGTTATTTACTAATGTTCACTAATCTTAGTCATTTGTGCAATTAAACATACTTTTCTTATAATTAATTGAATTAGTTTTCATTTTAATTATTATTAAGATGTTTTGTTTTTCTATAATTTTAATTATTTTAATTATAGGTTTTAATAAGTTTAATGTGTTAAGAGACAAATATTTAAGGGAATGGAAATTAATAATTCAACCTTTTAGCGGTCTTCATTCGTTGGTCCCACTTTATCGTTATTCATGAACAGGGCCGGTTCAGACATACAAAAGGCCATGTGCAAAATTGAATATGAGGCCCTAAAGTATAAAACACTATATTAATACTCTCACCGTTTTTAAATAATAGTCTCCTTAGGTCTTTTGTGGGTTTTATGAAGAAAATAGTAGGAGTAGTGTAGAGGTGTAAGGTAAATGAAAACGTAGAAAAGAGAATATATTAAGAAACGTAAATAATGACAAAGTATGAAAAAGAAAGTAGTTACAAGCTCGTTCCATTCTGTACGAGGGCTTTTGTGCTAATTAATGTAACTAGGCCTTGTGAAATAGATAAATTACACAATTGTAATTAACAATTGTATTTTAATTACATATAAATATTACAATTTAATGCTTGTTTTTAAAAAAATACGAGATAAGAATTTTTAATCAAATAAATAAAGATTTATTATATTATGTAGACTATATTTAAAATTTTGGGCCTTCTTAAATCGAGAGGCCTTGTGCAATAGCACTTCTTGCACACCCTCATCTACGGCCCTGTTCATGAATAATCCAACCTTTGCACCTCATCTTCATTCGTTGGTTCCTGACCGGTTGATGACCTGCTATTCCAGGTTTTTTCATTTTCTTTACAAATCATTCAACCATAAATTCTACCTTTCACAAATCTTCTCCAAACGGCCTCACGTATCATTTTTCTTTTTTTCTTGAAACTTTCCCTTTTTATTTTTATCGTCTTGACTCTTTTGTTCTCCTTTTTTGTCTTCTTATTATTGTTTTTACTACTTTTCAAATTATTTTATTTATTTCAATGTTTATGTATTCCATTTTCCCTTTTTTTCTTCTTCCCATTTATTATTTCATATATATATATTTCGGATTAGTTTCCTTATAAAAGATCTTTTTCTCACCGTAGTAACTTTTTACTTTATTTGCTTTTCTTACACTTATATTCCTTTTTCCCTTTCTTACCTTTATTCTACCACTAATATATTTTTGAGAAAAAAACCCCAAAATAGGACTAAACTAATTCCTAAATGCACAAATAGGACTATATTATTTATCTTCCCAAAATAAGAATAAAATACCGCCTATCTTTTTATTTTACATTTCTACCCTTATCATAACTTAATAGGATAATCATATTTTACATTATAATAAAAAAGAAAAATAACAAAAGGTATTTCAATTTATAAAAATATAGTAACAAAATAAGAAGAAAGGTATGGTAAGGGTATAAATGTAAAATAAGAAGATAGACAATATTTTATTATAATGTAAAATATGATTATCATATTAAGTTATGGTAAGGGTAGAAATGTAGAATAAGAAGATAGACGTTACTTCAGTAAAGATAAATAACATAGTCCTATTTGTGCATTTGGTAATTAATTTAGTCCTGTTCTGGTGCAATTTTCTCAAATACTGCGTATATATTAGTGGTAGAATAAAGGTAAGAAAAGGAAAAATGAAATAAATAAGTGTAAGTAAAAAGAAAATAAAGTAAAAAGTTAGTACGATGAGAAAAAGATCTTTAATAAGGAAACTAATCCCAAAAAATATATAAAAATGATATATGAGACCGTTTGGAGAAGATTTGTGAAAGGTGAGATTTATGGTTGAATGATTTGAAAAGAAAATGAAAAAACCTGGAATAACAGATCATGAACCAGTCAGGGACCAACGAATGAAAATGAGGTGTAAATGTTGGATTATTCATGAATAATGATAAAATGAGACAAACGAATGAAGACCGCTAAAAGGTTAGATTATTAATTTCCATTTTCCCAATATTTAAAAAGCATTTAAGTAACTCACCAAATATGCAATATAAGATATGATTTAATCAAACAACTTAATGTCACATTTGTTTAATCGTAACAAAACACAAATGAATTACACGTTAATTAGATTCTCATGTATTTAACTTTCTCGGTAATCTAACGTTCTGAGGCTAATCTCACATTCCTTCAACCAAAATAAGTGAATTATAAAAGTAAAGGCAACATAAAACACATGTCGGTTTTCCTTAAAAAAAGAAAAAGAAAAACCAGGTTGGACATTCACGGAGCGAGACGAATCTCCAGCCACAATCGTGCACCACCGGCCCTCCACCGCCGCAATCCATCATCGGTCTTCTCCAACATCCGTTCTCCATCGTCTCCAGTCTCCCCTACTACTGATCGCTAGTCATCCCTCCAATCCCGTCTAGGTGAAAATACGTTTGATGCTATATTTTATAGATAATTTATTTATTAATTTATATACAAACACCCCCTAAATAAGGAAAAGAAAAATTAGATACAAACACCCCCTAAATAAATACTGTTAAGGAAAAGAAAAATTTGTGCATTTAGGAATTAGTCCTATTAAGGAAAAGAAAAATTTGTGCATTTAGGAATTAGTCCTATTAAGGAAAAGAAAAATTAGATACAAACACCCCGAAAAATTAGATACAAACACCCCCTAAATAAAAATTAGATACAAACACCCCCTAAATAAATTAGATACAAACACCCCCTATATAAACACCCCCTAGATAAAATTAGATACAAACACCCCCTAAATAAGAAAAATAATTATAAATTAATAAATAAATAAATAATTATTAATTTATTTTAAAAATTAGATACAAACACCCCTAAATAAGGAAAAGAAAAAAGAAAAACAAAGAGTATGGCAAAAACTTGAATGATGGCGGTATACAGAATTATCCGCATCAAAAAACATACGGCCCAAATAGAGACGGAAGTTAGCGTGATTCAACCAGAGAACGCAGCTTGCGTCGAGGGAAATAGAGCAGCAGTCACTGGCTCACCGCAGCAGTCGACAAAGGCCAACTCCTTCCACTCGTGTGCCACCGGCCCTCCATCGCTACTCTCCCTGCCGCTGATCTCCAGACACCCATCCACTCCAATCTAGGTTAAAATACATATTTTTTATTTTTCCCCTTAACTCACGGTTCAGTTTTTGTATATATTTTTGTCTAGGGTTTGTTTATCTGCTTTAAATTTGATATAGAGAATGAGAAATCTGTCTTTAAAAGTTTGTTTTGTGATGTCTATAATATGTTTGCAAAAATGTCTCCATGAGTTTTTCAAATGAATGCTTCAAGACCTCAGTCTAGCACTGAAAAAGAAGATGAGGTTGTTTATCTTTAGTCTAATAGTATTAACTCTACTATTTTGTTTAAGTCTTTAAGACTAGGTTGGATGAAGAATCTTTCCTTTTGTGGTCCATTTAGCCTCCTCCATTTCCACGGGTCTTTGTTTTACTTTATTCTAAATATGCTACTGATGCAACTTGACCCATACTTGGGTGTAGCTAGTGCATTATTCTTATGTGTTCTTTTGTTATTGAAAATTTTGATTTTTTCAAGGTGTAATAAGCTCTTACGGCTTATCATTTAATCATTCCAATATTTAAAGTTCATTTTCTTTCAGTGCGTTTTAAAGTTTACTTCTAATCTCGTCCCTTCAAGTATGACCAGTTGTGTCACCATCGTCATCATCATTACCCTAGTGCCGCAAAAGCTCCCACCTACAGTGGGGTAACGGGGTCCAGGGGAGGAGGCAGGGCACTCAGGGGCGGATCTAGCTATGGGCCAGGGAGGGCCTATGCCCATGCTAAAAAAAATAAAAAAATTAGTATGTATATATATGTATTTTAATATATTTAATGTTGTGTAGAAATGGTATAAAAATAATAACACTCAAAAGGTTAACAAAAATGAAAAAGGTGAGATGGTGGTAGATCATGTCTATGCTAGACGTAGTATCATGAAGATCCTGGGTTCGATTTCTAGGGACAACATTTTTCATTTTGCAATGGAGAGCATATCTTCAACTCATTGGGTTTGGAGGTGAAAATAAGTCCAATAATTATGGGTTTAAGGTGTTTATGTAATTGATTTTGACAAAAAAACTTATTCTCATAATATTTATTTTTGTCTTAGAGATTTATGTTGTAACATATGTTATTTTACACATGAAAATAAGTTTTATTCAATATACACTACATTTGTTCTTAAGTAAATGCAACTGTCTATTTGTCACATTTGTTGATGCACAACTTTGACCAGTAATATACTCCATATATTATTCGCTATTAGTAAAAAAATAAAAATAAGATTTTGAAAATTTACAATTAGACAAGTTGAACAATATTTTAAAAAAAGTTATTAATTCATTAAAAAATAAAGTATAATCAAAATATAATATATGAATAGTGTAAAATTCAACATGTTGCATTTATTTAAGAACGTAAGTAATTATTTAAAGAAATACTATATTTTAACACTTCAATTAAATTTGGCCCCTGCTGAACGTTGATGTTAGATCCGCCCCTGAGGGCACTGGGCTAGACTAGATCAATACAAAGAATATTTTAAGGAAAAAAATTATATGAGATTTTTTAGAATTTTTTACCTTATAAATTAAGATATTTTTTAAATTTGGGGTGAGTCAGGGCCTAGGTTGGATGTACGCGGTCTTACTTCTGTACTAAGGCATAGAGACTCAGAGAGACGGTTTCTGGAGGACCTATTGTGAAAATTGCGTCGAAAATTGCATGAATTGACCGTTGCTTCATAACAAAGAAGTGCAAACAGTTTAGTGAGCCTTTTTATTTTATTCCATCATATTCCCAAGCTAAAAAATAGTGAATCGTTTGCTCCAATTGTGTGAACATTTGAAAATAGTAAGAGAGAAAGGTGAATTATCAAAACTATAAAGGTTATCATTTTCAATTGAACTTTTTCATTCAAATCATGAAACTTCTAAATATTATAACTGTTTCGGTAAAGTTTCATAAAAAGTGCCACTGGATGTGGATGCTTGTATACCTATTGCTCCATGCATGTGTCATTTAGTAATATGAGTCATTAAATACTACTACGTATCATATTATTTGAAAACTAGAAAGTGGCAATTCTAATAAAAAATATAAGGGTTCTGTTTTACACTGCTGGCCCACTATTAGGAGATCACTTCCATGAAAATATGAGCCTATTATTAATAAAGTGGACATGGCTTGGCCGCCTTTATCCTTCTCCAACATGGGCCTATGTTGCCTTCTTCAGGGCAGAAAGGGAGAAAACACAGGAAACATAAAAAAAATCAGAAGCTCTTACTTACTCTCTTAGTTTGCTTATAAGCTCATACTAGAATTTTAAAGGGTTGATCTTTTGTACCGTTCCTCAGGTAATCCTGCTTTTTTCATTCTGTTCTTTTAAGTCTGTAGTTTTTGCCTTGTCCAGCTCTTTTTCCATATCCTCTGCTGATCTGACCGTTGCTTGGTTATCTTTGATAAATTGTTTTTATGAGTTTTTCTATTCATATAAATGACAAACATAAAGCATTAATTTTTGTTGTTCTCAATTCCCAAACAGTTGTGCTTGATTATGGTACTGTCATCCTCGTAATTTGTCTACCCCAATTAAAATTTATGGGGTTAACCTAATTGCATTTTATTCTCTGATTTTGTTGCCAAATTTTTATCATATTCTGAGTTGGTTCTGCTGTTCAGTAGAACTTTTTGTAGTTTCTGAATATGAATATTAATCATTATATAGTAATTTATAAATAATGTTAGTGGAACTCTAATTTTGACTTCAGTTAAATCTCGTTATTTATAATTTCACAAGCAAGTTAGGACTGAAGTAGTATTACATTACTACTCTGTGAAACTCCTGCTTGTGGAGCACCATTAGTGGTTTGTACTTTGTATAATCTCTATTCATTCCTTTTCGTTGATACGTAAAATCATGCAAAAGTTTTGCAGATTTACGTGTTTGAGGCAGCAACAGCTTTAAGATTATGGCGAGGTCATTATCTAGCATGCTCTTAAAAGGTCTTGCTGCTTATCCTGCTACGCGTTCATCCACCGTTGTAAGATTCAATCCTAGATGATTTGTATGTTACAAAAATTTATTAAAACACTACATATTATTGTGTTGAGTTCTATTCATAACAGGAATGTAAAAGATCCATTTACTCAGCTAGGAACCGGTTCTTCGCTTCTGTGCCTAATGATCCAGACACACATGCCGATTTTCTACCTGCAAGTAAAGTTGAGAGTTCTGGTATTTCATTGAAGGACATTATTGAGCAGGTTTATAATTTGCTTTCCAAAAACTTTTTGTTGGTCTTGTTTTAATTTATTGGCTAGTCTTATGCTAATTCGGTTATAAATTGTTCTTTTGGGGTTTAATGCCACTTATGTATGTGTTAGTGACCCATATGTAGGATGTCAAAGAGAATCCCGTTATGCTTTACATGAAAGGGATGCCTGAACAGCCTCGGTGTGGGTTCAGCTCTCTAGCAGTGAGGGTGCTACAAGAATATAGTAAGAAACTAAGCACACCTCCATTTAGTTGTTTATGGTTCTCATATTCTCATTCATTTATGCACTACCATGGCAGCTTGTTGTAGGCAAAATGGTGAGTAATTCCATTTAAAAATCTTCACTACATTAGTCTAGGCAGTCTCTAGCTGCTCTCAATGCAGTTCTTGCATGAGCTTAATCTTTTATGATATTTATGTGCTTTACACTTCATAACATGTATGTTTCCCGCTTACATATTTTTGGTGATGTTTTGTCTTGATGATAGTTTTAGCATTCTCACAACTATCTATGTGAGTTCGTGACATAATTCCTAAAATATGACTCGTTTAGCACATGTTGTGTTAAACCTGTGAACTATTGATACAAGTTAACAAGTTTTGTGAAGCCATGAAGTAGTCTATAAACTGTAGAAAAAAACATACTATTACAGTTGGTCAGCGTAGATGCTTCTATTATATGTTAGGATTGCGGAGGGAAAAGTATTTGCAGAAGGAATAGTGTTTATGTGGATTATTGTATGAGTTCATTTATTTCTTGTATTTGCATGGCTATGAGACAACCATCAATTGAAATTTAGGAAATTATTTAATTGTACCTAAAAATAGCCTTACATTAGAACGATTAGATTTAAAAGCCTGATTTATAGGGAAATCATAGTCAATGAGTTTTGGAATCTTTTAATCACAATTTCTTTGCTGTTTCTTCTACACTGCCTTGCAGATGTTTTTTGCATATTGCATTTAAAAAGTATAGTATATTTCTGAATTTCTGTTTTTTTGTCATGTGTGCTTAAAATTGTTTTGATGTATACAGATGTTCCTATAAGTGCTAGAAACATATTGGATAGTTACGAGCTAAAGGATGCTGTAAAATCATTCAGGTAATTGATGGTATCTGTCTTGCTAAAATCTCGTCCTTGGATGAATATTGAACTCTTCATTAATAAATACGTATGATATTCAAGATCCTGACAAGTAATGATATCAACCTAGAGCCATTGGTTTCACAATTTTTAAAAAACATGGATTTGAGAAAATTTGAAATCCATGTCTTTGGTGAGGAATATGTTGGAGTGATATAGTTATAAACTGATTTACTACAAGTTTGTTAAAGAAAGAACAACACTACATGCATTATAAACTATGTGATCGCTGATGTGTATCTATTGTGCAGCAACTGGCCCACATTTCCCCAAATATTCATCAATGGAGAATTCATTGGTGGGTCTGACATCATCCTCAGTATGCACCAGGTAATTTTCATGCCTATCATGCTTTTGCTATTCTCTTCCTTGCCCAATAAAGCGCGAAGCCTTTTTTCCTTTCTTTTTTGTCATGCAGAATGGAGAACTCAAGGAAAAGTTGCAAAGCATTGGCAAGCAAGGGAAGCAAAATGAATCCTAATAGCAGGACGCAGTGTTTATGGTGAGAACTATTTTGCGAGGTCTTTTAAGTAAAATATAGAGTTCAGAAAAGTGTTTATTTCCGGATGTCATATTTGGTATAATTCAAACACGTCCCTATTTACTTCTTGTGTATGAGGAATCTATTATATCCAGTCTGTGTACTCTGGTAGTCTGGTAAATAAAGCGACGTTCTTTTATACCTTTATTTTTTAACCATGGTTAATGATATTTTAGAAATTGTTTCAGATGATGAATGTAGTAAATCATGTCCCGTTTGAGGAGCATTCAGATCTGATGTACAACCTTCAGTCGTGTGACATCCCTCCCAAATATTAGGCATGGACTCGGGCCGGTTGACCCATTTTTTTTTTTGATTTTCTAATTACTTCCTACCCCCATCCCCCACACCCCAAGACCCTCCAAAACACTCAGTCCAACCCATTTAACTCCCAAAGTTTGTGAAAAAATAAGGCCCGAACTGGGCCCAGCCTTGCTGGACCGGTTCACTTTCTGGAGTCCCAGAGCCTGCCCCGAAAACTGGCGGTTTGGGTATAATGCACCCGGCCCGGGTATCGGGCCAAAACAGTACCGGACTGGGCCGGTTGACCCAACCTGAGTCCACCCCTACCAAATATGTAGCGGTGTTGAGAAACCGGTTCAAATAATAAAACCGGACCAGTCATTGGAACCACATTGACCTAGAGTGATATCCTACCCGGTGTTTGGCAAAGAAGTCGTTGATTAAAGTCCCGTTTCAGTTTCAATTATAAACGGGATCATCCTGGTTTTGATAAAATAATAAGAACATGAAAATAGGGGTGGACCGGTTCCGGTTCGGGCCCAGTTCGGGCCTGGGCCTGGCCGGGCCTCAGTTCAAGAAGGGGAGGCCTGGAACCGGCCCGGGTAACCCCCGGGTCCGGGCCGGGCCTCAGTTCTATTTTTTTTTTGGCTTTTCCTAGTTAACCACTTAACCCCCAACCCTCCCCCTCACCCCCAAACCAACCCTAACCACCTCAAATGGCCCAAAATACCCAGCCCAACCCAAAACTTAAAAAAATTCAAAAAAAAAAATGGCCCGGCTCAGGCCCGAACCGGCCGGGCCGGTTCACCTTTTGAAGGGCCCGAGTCTGAACCGCCATCCCACCGGGCCGGTTGGCTCGAACCGGGCCCGGAACCGGTTCACCGGGCCGGGGCTGCACAGTAGCGGGCCGGTCCGGTTCCGGGCCGGTTGGCCCGGCCCGAGTTCACCCCTACATGAAAAAAAGGAAACGGTAAAAGTGGACGTTAAAAACAAAAATGGAAGATTTCTATGTGAGAGAGGGAAAATGAGACTTGGTATATGAGGTTGTTTTGAAAGGATCGTGAGAGCGAGATTATTTATGTAAAATATTCAAAGAAAAGTAAAGAAACTTTATAACATGTCAAAAAACTTGAGGTGCAAAATTGACTAATTGAGATCATTCTGGAATACTTAAATGTGAGATTGTTCTAAAAAGATCATTAAAATGTTATCAAAATTTCCTCTAATTTTTGTTATGAATTAAAGTTTTTATGCATCCGATTGAATGTAATACTATATTAGATTATGTGATTAAAACTTGATGGCTAAATCATATTCATACAATAGTATATAGCACACATACTGACACACATACGTACGTGATACATATGTAGTAGTGTAGTAGGGGTGGATTGGGTTGGGTTCGGACTGGGCTTTGGGTCGGGTTTGTACCAGGTCAGGCCGGGCTACCTGCACGGGCTTCGGGATGGGACATTGGGACTGGGTCGGGTCTAGGCTTGGACTCGGGTCGGGCCACCCGGCCCGTGGACCGGCCCGGCCCGCTACTGTGCGGGACCGGGACCGGCCCGGTTCTCGGGTCCGGGTCCGGGTCGGGCCTAGGCCCGGGGGGGTAGGGCGGGTCCGGGCTCGGGTCTCAATTTTGGTGAACCGGCCCGGGCCAAATTGAATTTTTTTTTTATTTTTTTTTTTCATTTTTGGGGTTCCACCCGGGTTGGGCTTGATGGGTAGGATGGGTTTGGGGGGGTTTGGGAGGGTGGGGGTGAGGGGGGGGGGTTAGGAAAGCAAAAAAAAATCCAAACCGGAGGCCCGGCCCGGCCCGGACCCGGACCGGACCCGGTGGCTACCCGGGCCGGTCCCGGATCCACCATTCTTGAACCGCCGGCCCGCCCGGGCCTAGGCCCGACCCGGACCCGGCCCGGACCCGACCCCGGCCTGCCCGACCCGCCCAAACGGGCTAAAAGCCCGGAACCGGCCAACCGGTCCTCCGGTCCGGGCTCGCACATATGGGTGGACTCGGGCCGGGCCAACCGGCCCGGAACCGGACCGGCCCGCTACTGTGCGGGCCCGGACCGGCCCGGTTTGTTGGTTAGGCCACGGTTCGGGCCACCCGGCCCGGTCGTGTAGCGGTTCGGGCCCGGGCTTAGAATTTGATGAACCGGCCCGTCCGGGCCTCAACGGTCACAAAAAAAAAAAAATTTAAAAAATTTGAAGGCTCTACTAGCCGTTGGGAGACCTCCCAAACGGCTCTATAGCCGTTGGGAGCATAGGAGGGGGGGTCTGGGGGGTTAGGGGGGGGTGGGGTGGGGGTGGGGGTGGGGTATACAAAAAAAAACCTATTTATACTCCTATTTTCTATACATTTTTTACACCTCTTCTTCTACAACTCTTTCTACTCTCTAAAATCTAAATTCTCTATTCTCTTAATCTCTCATATTCAATCATCTTCATTCTTCATCTTCTCCAAATTCTTTCTACATATATATAATTTATATAATTATTATATCTACTCATATATTATAATATTAATTATCTACTTATAAATATATACTTATACACATTCATATTATAATTCTTTACGCATTATATTATATACTATATATTGTTATACATATATATTATATATTACTTATAATATATTTACACATTATATATTTATATATACTATATATAGTTATACATTATATTATATATTACTTAGAATATAGTTATACACTATATTATATATTACTTATAATATATTTACACATTATATATTTATATATACTATATATAGTTATACATTTGATTTATATATACACTTCTCGTTTATCTATTTAATTACTTAATTGTTTCATTTGTCATATTAATATTAGTTAAAGTAGTTAAAGTTAATTGTTTCATTTGTCATATTAATATTAGTTAAACTACTTAATTGTTACATTTCTCATATTAGTTAATTGCTACATTTTTACATTTCTCATATTAGTTAATTGAGAAACAAAAGTTATTAACATATTCCGACGCCGCTTACGTTAGTTATTTTTGTGATTTCATGAAACAAAAGTTTTTAAAATATTATTCACATATTCCGCATATATATGGTATTGCATTTGTTCTTGATCCTCGTTATAAACTTCCTTACTTGGCAAATTGTATAGATTACTATTATGCTTCTTTTTTTCCAACTCAAGAGTTCGATGATAATCCCATCGACCCTAAACAAGAATTCAACGAGGTTAGTAATTTATTTCATCAATTGTATAATGAATTTCATGCACAATATGGTAATGCACCCCCTCCCATGCAACGAACATCTTCTTCATCTAAAGGAAAATCACTTTTAAAATCCGCTTTTGGTTCTCTTTTGAAAAAAAGTAGAGCAACTCCCGCTACTGAACAAAGCTCAGGTAACGAGCTTTCTTTGTATCTAACATTGAATGTTGATTATGAAGTTGGTGATGACTTTGACGTTCTTAAGTGGTGGAAGGAAAATGAAAGAACATTCCCGATTTTATCAAAGATGGCTAAGCAAGTACTAGCAATGCCGATATCAACCGTTGCCGTGGAACAAGAATTCAGTGCGGCCGGCAACGTCCTAACAGATTTTAGAACGAGGTTGAGCCCGAGCTCTCTTGAGACACTAGTTTGCTTTCACGATTGATTGAAGGCCCAACGAAGAACTCAAGAAATTACCATCACTCCCTCCTGCCACTTTATGGAGGAAACAACCGAAGGCGGAGAGTCCGATTGATTTTTTATTACAAAATGTATTAAATTTTTTAAATTCATCCTAATTCTCAATTGTACTTCTTATTTGAAATAAATATACTTCAATTTGAATATAATATATTGTAATTGTAATAAGATTTATTCTAATTATATAATAATTAAAAAAAAAAATTAAATAGACCCAGCCCGGCCCGGCCCGTGAACCGGGCGGGTGACCCGAACCGAACCGGACCCGGGGTTATCCGGGCCGGTTCCGGGCCTGCCTTCCTAGAACCGAGGCCCGGCCGGGCCCGAACCGGCCCGAGTCCATTCCTACCCGCACAGTAGCGGGCCGAGCCAGTTCCGGGCCGGCCCGGCCCGGTTTAGTCCATCCCTAGGGGGAAAACACTTTTCACTAAGCAAAACATGTAAAAGAAAAAGTACTAGTGGGCTGTAGAACATACACTGAAATGTGATAAAATTTCTATAGCAGTTATAAGAATGTAGTGTACACAGAACGCCATAAGAAATTAAGAATGGCGTTTACTTGTAGTGTCATACACATTCACGAATTAAGTAGCAGTTTGTTGTGTTGCCTATACTGATACAAAAAAATAACAGATCTAAAAAGCTTGGGTGAAGAACAAAAATGATTACAACATCCGTACAGCACGATTCCCCCTCCCCTATGGATTATAAATCAGAAGAATTAATTACGATAAACTCCGCCATAGAAATTGCTCAACTATTTATTGCTAGCGGAGCACAAATATCGAACCAGATATTCGTTGGACGAACAAGTATCAGCCAAATCCTGATGCAATCTTGTAATTGCTTTCTGCAAGGATTTCAGGGCAGGAAGCAAATTTCTTGAATTTTGTTGAATGGACTGGCCGTGGACTTTGCAAATTTCCTGTCCACACATAACACGGGGGTAAATAAGTATAAAACCACACATAGTACAGAGGAGGAATAAAGTTTTTTTTGAGGATAATATAGCAACCTGACACCACAAAAGAATGAACTCCAAATGAGGACAGTTCTCTAGAAGGTCTGAAAATGCCATCACCAATCTCTGCAAGTATTTGAACGGTACAGATGAAGCTGTAGCAGCTATATCTGCTGGCCTGACAGCCATAATGCACTTCTTAATTAAACTATCCTCGTTTAGACGTAGACTTAGAATTAGCGCTCTTGTTGTCTGCCCTTCGGACAACGCAGCATTGACCACCTGTGAACCAACAAAAAGAAAACACATATTCATATAGCACGGTCCTCACATAACACATTTTGTAAGAGTTGATGCCAGATTTAGTTCCTTGAGAATTAAGTATTTCACAAATTGGTCTTTGATTTCTTATTGAAGCCACTTTGGTCTTCCACTATGAAATTTAGATCCAATTTAGTTCTCAAGCATATTTGGTTCTACCGTTCTAGTCAGAAATACTGTTTTCCATTAACTAAATTAGAACTAAATTCAACTCAATTTGGCACTCAACAATATAATTTGGACTCAATTTAGTCCTCAGCCTACAAAACTACCCTTTCTTGATTAGAGCGAAGTATGCATGGAGATTGGAGACTAAATCAAGTCTGAACTGCAGAGTGAAGAACCAAATCCAGTTCAAAAGAAAACCCATGACCAAATTGAGTACAATGCATAGACGAAGGCGATGACCCAAGAGAGGTATATTTACTATAAATTATTGCCATATTTATTCGTCTTTAGACCTCCAAAATAAAAGTGGTAGAAGTAAATACAAAGACTTACGTCTGGAGTGACATCAATGTCAAGATCAGTGGGGTCAAAGATGAAAGAGTCATCCATTGAGTAAATCAGAACTCCTTCCGTGGTTGCTGCTGCCCAACTCCTTCCTGTTGGGGCAATCCTCAGGCATTTTGTTCGGATAACTGGTCTTCCCTTATTAGGCATTGATCCAGGCAAATCATAAGCCAGTTTGTTCCTTGATTGCCTATCAATGCCTTCTTCAATATCACTATCATCATCCTCGATTAAATCCAATGGGCCCGCATCTGTCATATTCTTTGAGTTCAAAAAATCCAATACCCCATCTAACGAGAGGTTATGCGTTATTTGAAATCTTCGAAGCAAAACCTACAATTTTCAAAATGCATCAATTAGTAAATTAAATACAAAATAGCTTATAGTTTATAACTTGTACTACGTAGTAGATAAGCTATTTGATCTCATATAGTGTTTCAAACTTAGTTCATAAGCTAGATTAGAAATCTAAAATGACACCAAAGCTACGTTTAATATGATCTTAAAATAAACGCCGAGTTAAAAGTGAACTATAAGCATAAAGCTCATTAGCATATTAAAAAGCTACTCCAAGAAGTCCATCCGGGGACATCTAATAAAATTGGAACGATACAGAAAAGCTACTCCAAGAAGTTTATTTAATAAGCTTGCATTCTTTGAATGACTTCATGCAAACAAAGCTTATTCGAAAAGCGTCATTAAAAGCTCATAGATAAGTTATAGGCTAACTCATGGCGTCTGAGTCTCAAAGGATTGGGTACTTCGAAAGAGTTCTAAAAATATGAGAAGAAAGAACAGATTATAGAAAACAATAAACTTTGACTAAATGGCACACACCTGATCAGCAACATCATACATGCAGATATATTTACTATTTCCCCCAGCCAATATGTAGCTTCCATCAGCAGAGTAGCACAAGCTTGTGAAGAACTTGCCAGAAGTGGAGTTGGCTGCAGATCTACGATCAGTCATTAAACGCCCACCTGCAATGTCCCTACGCCCTTCAATGGTGTACATCAACACACCCTCAATGGGATCCCAAAAATGTATTTGCCCATCTAATGTGCTGCACGCTAATTGCTTTCCATCTGGACGATAAACCACTGTGAGGACATCGTGTGTGTGGGGAAAGGTTTCTACTGCTCCTTTTCCATCAAAAACATCCCACAAGCGAACTGTTTTGTCCCAAGACGATGAAGCCAGAACGGCCTACAGAAAACAAGGGAAAACTAAACTAATGCTCTTGAAATGTACAGGATATACGTGTCCATATTATTTGTGCTTTAACTGACTTATATTTTGAACACAAAGAGGGAAACCCCACAACAGATCATGAACATTAATAACATACTTGTCCTTCCTAAATTAGTTATCTTTTTAGCCATTTACACAAAATTATCCCAAAATAATCATCGTTTTAGCCAGAACAAAAATTATTTAGCCAGAACCAAAGTAAATTAGTTATCTTTTTAGCCACATTGATAGGGACCCGGACAATAAGACTATTAAGAATAATAGAGGGAAAACCCAAGACAAGGAAGCCAGAATATCCTACAGAAAACAAGGGAAAACTAAACTGAAGCTTTTGACATGTAGAGGATAGGTGTCCAAATTATTTGTGCTTTAACTGATTTATACTACGTATTTTGATCACGGAGAGGGAAACCCCACAATAGATTAATAACACTCCTCCTTCTGAAATTAGTAATCTTTTTAGTCACATACACAAAATTATCCCAAAGTAATTTTTGTTTTTAGGAACTCAACAATGCATATGTTTTTATATTCTTCCAAATCTGCCCATATTAACTGTTCCTACATTAAATGCTTTTACACCTTAAAAAGAATTAAAATGCATTTAGTGTTAAACTTAAATAAGGGCAGAAGGGACATTTTGTAAGAATCCTCAATATGTGAGCTTTTCTAAAACGTCAATTAATTTAGGATGGAGAGAGCACAAATGCACAATAGGGTGACATAAGCATGCATGACTTGAAAATAATTAGCATAAGAAGCACGTGACATACATTTGTTGGAGAAAATATTAATCCATGCACGGGGCCCTCGTGCCCACTGAGAACATCCAACAGCCTTCCTGTCTTCATTGACCAGACATATATCTAGTAGCAGTTGATAAAATAACAATCTCGTCAGCAAATTATGAATGTGACAGCACAACAATGTCATTCTCAATAAAATTCAATAAGAAATTAGTTGTGACCTCAAATGAATCAAGGGTTCCAGCACATATAACTTCGCCACTCTGATCTGATGCTAAAGAAACGAACTGCTTGGATGTGGGGGTTGTAAATGTCCTAAAATTTCTATATCGAAACAAATCCCATGCACGAACAGTCCCATCAAGAGATGCACTCAACAGGCAATGATTGTTTGGCATGAAATGAAGAGCAGTGACTGCATTGGTGTGCTCAGAGAATGTGACAAAACAGAAGCCTGATGAAGCAGTCCAAACCTGTTTTGCGGGGCATAAACGACCAAATTTCAGATTTAGGGTGCACATATAAACGGAAGATTCTGACTCTTTTATAAGAATAAAAAGATGGAATTTATGAAAATCAAATTCTTGAAAAGATCTGGAATGAGAAAATGAGTACAGGTGGAATACAATCGCACATTCGAACATCTAGGACGCACTTATGTACAATTTGAATAATTAATACTTCCTCTGTGGAAAAAATCTCATTTAACCAAGGCACAACTGCTGTAAAGAATTGATCCTAGTTACATTTTTATAAATTACGTAGTGTTTGTTAATTTAGTGAAAATTACCAAAATGTTAGCTTTTAGATGTTTCGTGAGTCGTGACTTTCTTTTTGGGACAAAAAGAAGTCTTTGAAAGCAGACTCTTTTTGGGGATTAAGGGTGTAATTCTACAGAGCGTAGACACAAGTTTATCTTAATCATACGAAATAACATTTCCATTCCACAATAAATACATATCTAATATGCATAATATCAGACAATTCAGAAATCAACTTAAAGTATCGCACAACATATTGCTCTTGCATAAAATACAGTAAAAATGAAGCCAAAACATTATTTCAGTACACGAGTACAGTACTTGCCTTTATCTTATTATCATCTGCTCCAGTAGCAAGGAGTTGAGAATCTGGTGAGTATGCAAGGCAATTTACATCAAAGTAATGTCCCTGCTGCTTCAATATGTAGCTTTCTGATTTCCACTCCCACACAAGTAACTGCCCAAGCTTTGCACATCCGAATGTCAGCCAATTCCCAAGATCATTAAAGACTGAAGTTGTGATCTTCTCTCTTGATATTGACAACCGATGGATGCAGATAAAATCCGGCATCTGATAAAGTCCAAAGACACCATTGGAAAATCCCGCTACCAACATATCAAGCCCTCTATGATAATCACAGGCAGTTACTTTTGCTGGTGCTTGCATGAAATAATCCTTCTTTAACAACTCCCATTTCTGTGTATGCAACCAAGAGCCTTTTTCTTTGCCCAAGTCTTTGTCTTTCCCATAAAGACCCTTCCTTTTTTTGGAAACAGCATTGTAATCTACTTCCTCAACCTGTGTTTGCTTTTGCTCTGGTGTACTAGGGGGTTCTGGTTCAGAAATATCACTATCCAATTCGCCAGATTTCTCATCTGTTTCAGTGTAACCCCAGCTAAAAAGGGCTCCATCACGTGATAAGGTATAGATTCGACAAACTTTTTGGGTTTTCATTTCAACTCCTAAGAAACAACTAACAATCACGTCCCTGTGGGCCACAAATAAAAATGGCTTATGCATCTTGTTCGATTTACCAAGGCAAAAGAGCCTCACAATCATGTCCTTCGAACCGGCAAGAATGTACTCGGAGTCTGGGCTCCAATCCAGTGAGGTGACCCTATCGTCGCAGTCAGCAAAAGTGCGTATCAACTCAAAAGGAAAAAACTCTTTCCTGAAACCAGGAGAGCGCCAAATTTGCAGGAGCTTGCCAGCAGCGACAGCTATGGAGTGGCCATCGGGGCTGAACTTGGCGGCGGATACGGGATGTTTGAAGGTGATGCGATGGAGGACGGCACGACGGCGAAGATTAATGAAGAGGCATCGGTTCTTTTCGTCGATTGCGAGGATAAAGACGCCGTCAGGGGACGCGGCGATGCGACGAAGATTGGAGGAGGACTGACATGGTAATGTCACGGTTTCGGATTTGACAAGATCGGTGACGGAGACCCGGTTACCAACAGGCGAAATCAGCAGAGTGTTGTTTACCACCAAGGCGTTTCCACCTCTGTATGGAGCTCCAAGAAGGTTATGAAACCTGTAATTCATGGCGGTGATGGGCAGAGGAGGGAAAGGGCAGCTAAGCCTGTGAGAGTTGAGCTGAGCAGCCGGCTGCTCTTAAGTTCCCTTAAACCCTACTCAGGGAAATTCAAACACTCATCTGTTTGTTACGCACTCAAGTCTCAATAATTCAACGGAAAATTTGATAATACGGAGTATAATAACACCTATGTCCCGTAGGTCTTAGTAGATTGAAAAAAAAGTGAGAAATAAGAATACTAAAAACTGTTGATTTAGATTTGTGCAGAGGAAATAGAATTATGAAAAACTACAAATAAGTTGCTTTAATATAGAAGTGATAATGTTTTTTGGTACAACCAAAAAAGGAAAGTTGACAAAGTCCACGGAAGGAGTACGTAAAATATTACATCGGTTCTTTTTAAATGTAACGTTGGACTTTTTATATTATTTACATATTCTACTTTGATTCTAATTTATTTATGTATTAGAAATTGATGTGAGTTTTCTCGCATTTAAAATAGATTGTAGTAAAGGGTGTAAGTACGAGTATCGTCTCCACAAGGACGGTAAAAGGGAATCATGAATTAATTAAATTCAGCGATTAAAAAGAAATAAAATAAAATAAATTGTGTGAGAATGGTTGGGTTGGAAAATTAAAATGCAATTAAATGAATAAAATAAATTGGGTTTTTCTAATTAACGACGAAGGAACAAGGATTGACTCTGGGGTAATCAGATTTTTGGCTGATCAGGCTTAATCACATGAAATTAGTTTAATTGAGTTTCGCTAATCATTACTAAGTTCTTACCGCTCTCGCGGCGTAGAATACAATAATTTAGGGGACTAAGCTGATCTCTCATGCGACAAGATCCTAAAATTATTGCCAAAACGAGCGAGCGTACGGCCCCTTAATCGTTACTAATCTCTTAGTGAACAATTAAGCGTATGTGAAGGTGTCCTAGAATAAATTAGATCTCTCTTAATTTATTCTACAAGCAATTGTAATTCTAATGGTCATTCTAGGTTACAAGAGATATCAATTGAATCATTCAAACACAAAGTAAATACATTCATGCAATTAATCCATCATGAATTTTGCCATACATCATAATTAACCCCTTCATCAACCCCAAATTCCTAATTAAAAATACTCACAACTCATAATTGAAAAATCAATAGAATTGTGAAGAATATAATTAATTGTCACTAATTAAAAATAAGGAACTGTTGAGTTTATTCGCCGCAGCCCGGAAGTCCAACACCTCTTCCAGGAGGGTTTCGTAGCATGTTGATGATAACAAGATATAAACAATGATTTTAACGCGGAAACCCGAATATGTGGCTTATTCGTAGTTCCTCTAGCTACTCTTAAGATATATGTGGCCCAATATGCTCCACTCTTAGACTATTGCTACTTTCATTACGGCTTGGAATCTAGAGTCACTTTCCTATGCTGGAAGAGTTGAACTTATAAAATTTGTCATACAAGGTGTGCACTCTTTTTGGCTCCAAGTATTTCCAATACCTAAAACTGTGCTTGATAGAATAACTTCCATATGCCGCATCTTTTTTCGTGGATGCAAATTCTCTAGGGTTGCCTGGGTTGACATTTGCCTCCCAAAGATGAGGGTGGACTCGGTATATATGATACTAAGGTTTGGAACTCGGCCTTACTTGCAAAAATCTTTTGGGATATATATACAAAAAGGATACTCTATGGATCAAATGGGTGCATGGAATCTATGTTAATGGCCGAAGTGTGTGGGAGTTTTCCCCACACAATAGGACTCACACTTCATGAAAAAGATTGCTTCGATTAGGGATGAAATTATGTCCCATTTTGATAACATCCCTTATGCTATTCATTGTCTACATGGGTTCCAAGAGAATGGTAAACTCTCATCCAAAAGGTGTATAATTTGCTTAGAAATAAGACCCCCACCTGTAGGTGGATGTCCTTTATTTGGAAGAACTACATCCCTCCAAAGTTTTCCTTTACTACTTGGTTGACATTCCGAAATAGGTTGGCTACATATGACAACCTCTATAGGTTAGATGTAGTCAACACATGTATCTTTTACAAGGGTGGACCGGAAACGGTTCCACACCTATACTTTGATTGTCCTTTTTCAGGAAAAGTTTGGAGCATGGTGAAAGAATGGATTGGAATGTCAAGGCAAATATCATGCTCAATCAAGTGGATAAAAAAAGAGAGGAGTAGTGCTGGTATAAAAGTCAAAGATTCACGCATTGCACTATGCTATTCCACATACTAGATTTGGAGGGTTAGGAATGCAACAAAATTGGATGAACTTACTCCTAAAGAAAAGAAGAGGACGCTTTTGCAAGGATAAAGTACATTGTGTACAATGTTTTGTATAACATCTATCCGATTTGGTTCTATTTTGATAAACGATAGTTGCCCATCACCTATTTTTTGCCTGTGACGTCTTTAGATAGCTTAGCATATAGTCTTTTGAGGTGATGGGTTATCCAATCTATTGATAACCTACATTTTTGCATATGTTTTTGTTATTTAGATAAACTCTTTTGGGTGTTTTTTTTATATACTTAAATTTCATCTAAAAAAATAATAAGAGATCGTTTGGCAACATTGCTTTTCTACTTATCAAACTTATCAACCAACTTTTTACCAAATACATGACTTTTGTTTTCGCGCGCTGAATTTTGTAATAATAAGAAAAAGTTAGGTTGAAGTTACTTTTCTGGCTGTATTGACTGAAATTACTGTAGACGATCATTTTAGCTATTTTTATATATATTTTTTTATTTTATTAATAAATATATATTTTACAAATATTTTTTTCTTAAATCAGCAAAATCATCCAATACAACTACTTCAACTAGAATTTAATAAATTTCAACAGAATAAGTCAAATCAACCGATTTTCATGTTACCAAACGCGCTCTAAAATTAACGATTCGTTATCAAAGGTTTAGTCCTTGGAAAGACCGAAAAAGAAAATTAAGTATTCACGATGACAACGCTTTTTTGTTTAAAGTATGGATGGACTCGGGCCGGGTGGCCTGACTCGGAACCGGCCCGGTACTGTTCTGGCCCGACCCGACCCGGTGGCCTGGTCAGTGACCGGTCCAGGTAGACCCGACCCGTGGGGTTTCCGATCCGGGCTCGAGTCACCCAAAACAAGGCCCGACCAGACCGAGCCCGAGCCCGGTTCGAGCCAAAATTGATTTTTTTTCCATTTTTTTTTAAATTTTCGGGTTGGACTAGGTATTTTGGGCCTTTTGGGGTGGTTTGGGGGGTTGGGGGTGGGAGGGGGGTTAATTAGGAAGAGGAAAAAAAATTGATAATGGGCCCGGACCGGACCCGGTGGTTACCCGGGCCGGTCCCGGGTCCACCACTCCTGAACCGCCGGCCCAGACCCGAGTCCACCCCTAGTTTAAAGGATGATTTCATTAATGGTTTCAAGATCACAAGAGGGGTTCACATATAAAAACTCAAAATTAAAACAGAGTTAAAAATGAGAATAGGGGAACCTCATTCGCTTTTTCTTTTGTCTAAGTAAAGACGGATCCGATATATATATGATGATAATACCAAAACCTTGAAATGATCTCATCACGCTCCCGCTAGTTGCCTCCTCTCACAAGATCACAAAAAATTTAAGGCATAGACAATGGACAATAAATGTAAGACGTCGTACTATATATAGTAGTTTGAATATTTGAGTCAAACTTCACCCAACACTTATGCTGCAAAACTCGATGATGTTTACATTGCCATTGGCCAATGTTTTCCCTTTCAAATAACTAATTATTAGAAAATCACTGTGTGACACGTTTTTAGCTGTTGCAAACTTGCAATCGCAACAATATGAATGGCATTATCCAGAGCAAAAGCAAAAGAAAAACATAGCTTTTAAATCTAGATTTTGCAGAAAACTAATCTGTCAAAATCCAAACCAGATGTCTTCTGGTAGAGAGCAATTGAAGTTTCAATGACCATGGCCGTCTTCATCATCATGGCCATCCGGTGGTCCTCCCGGACCAACCACTTCCAACTGCAACATGAAGAAAAATAATTAGCACCTTTATGTTGTAATTTAGAGAAAGAGATAAAGTGTTGCTAGCTGAACTGAAGTTGCCCTGCCATGAGTTTTTAATAAGTTTGAAGCGACACTAAGCTCCAAAACAAAGCCTTCACAGAGTGCACACTTTAGGGCCCTATTACCAAGCAGTTTTTTACTATGTATTACTAATCACATCTTGTGTTTGGGTTTAGGTAAATCTACTTTTTTACATCTACTTTTTTACAGAGTGAGTAGTTTTTAAATTCTACTTTATTATTGATTTTGGAGGAGATGTCCTAAGTTTAAATCTATTGTTTAAACCTTCGCAGCATGCACACCCAAAATAAATTTCAAATTTTTAAAAAGTTAGATAACAAGGTATTTTTCTCCATTTGGTAGAGGATAAAAATAAGGCCTATTTTTCTTTCTTACCAAACATCAGTGTTAATTATTCTCATGGTATACTTACAACGAAGTACTGAGAGCACACAGGGCATTCGTGTGGCTTGCCCTTCTCTAACCAGAACCAAACAACATCATGCTCATCCTCTGTAAGATAGGACAGCAATGTTTCAGAACCATCCAAACTTGTTATTAATCAAAAAAGTAAAAAAGAACTCATGATAGTTATATGCTGGAAAAATGAGAAAAATTTATCCAGTAGTTAGGATTAAAATACAACTGTAGTTAGGATCAAAATAGATCTGTAGGTAGGAACAAAATTAAAGAATTGGATGACTAAGCATACCGCCTTCTCCTCCGGGGCATCCAACAATTCTTTTGTCATAGTAGGATTTGATAACAGCCGGTGTTTCCTGATAGCAAGTATAAGAAGTAGTACATGATTATTTAGTCAATTCCACTTTGGTCCCTTCGGTATAACAGAAAGTCCAAATCTAATCATCTAAGTCCAGCATGGAAACATTTAGTCGTATCCTTCCATAATTTTCTCACATTCAATCTAAAATAACTGACAATTTGACACAAAATAACATTGGTGATATTTTAAGGAACTCCACACTTTCACATAAAGCTACACCAAATCAAACAAACCTAGGCACCTCAGAAGTCCGATTAGGGAAGGGTGAGATGTAGGCAAGCTTTAACTCTACCTCTAGGATGCTTTAACATGTAAATGCATTTTAGACTGCATGCAGAAAAACTTAAAAATAGTGGATCAAGTGTACTATCTGTCCCCCAAAGATTGGGACAAAAGAGTGGTGCGGTTTTTAAGAAAAATGGAGTTATGTGGTTGATAATGAATTGATAAAATGGGAATAAAGTAAAAATGAATTAGAGCCACACAAATATTACCACATATGGTATGGGACAAACTTAGTGAGATGGACAGAAAAGGAAAAATGGGACAATAATAGTGGGGCGGAGGGAGTAAATATTAACCAGTGTTAGGAGCGTAAAAGACATAGGTGTATGCAATTGGAAGTAACATATACATCCAACCCACCAATAATAAAAGTTAGAAAATGTCATTGATGAAAACGTAAATGAGTCATTTCTATTCACATCTCTCAAAAATACACAAAGTATGGGGCTGTGTGGTTCCCAATCCCCAGTCTCAATGATGAAAACGTAATTGAGTCATTTCTATGAAAATTGCTCAAAAGTAATTACTCCCTCCGTCCTGAAATAATTGTTTTGTTTGCTTTAGCACAAGTTTTAATATAGTGGTTGAAAAGGTAAAAGTTGTGGTTGAGATTTGAGTAGAAAAAGGTGAATTGAGATGAGCCACATATTATTGTCAAAAGAAGAAACAAGATAATTATTTCGAGACGGAGGGAGTATTATTTTGATCTAAAATCCTGTTACAACTCTCAAGACAGATTGTAGAAGAAATTTACTGCAGCTTCTAACACATTATCAGTGGAGTGCTCTCCTTTGTTTTTTCTTTAACTCTACTATCAGATATGCTTGTATATTCTTACAAAATGAAGCACAAACAACTATGTTGAGCAAGGTATAATTTAAAACATAAAGCAACATCTACTGTGAGAGGAGCATCCAATGTTTAATACTATGCAATGTAATTACAAAGATGACAACTGTCCATCAAAGTATCAAACACAAGAAATGCAAGAGGGCATCCAAATAATGTATACATTGGCCGCTAATTTTCTCCCATTTAAACCTGTGACACATCGAAATTCCTGGATTAAGGGTTGATAAAATTGCACTATCAACATAAATGGAGTTATATTGAGTGATTTTCTCATGATTCATTGATAAAGCAATTGACTCCTAACCTCTTCCAGCTTCTAAATGGATTTTCTTTCCTCACCATGTTGTTCTAATTTATAGTCCCAGTGTCCCACTAATTTATATAACAAATTGAGCAACAAAATTTCTGTTCATGGGATGCACCGTATCAGTTTTCACAGCACATGCATTTTCCAAATGGCAGCAACATAGTTCAACTCCTGAACAAAGAAAGTAGGTGCACCAAGGCACCAGCGCCCGGGTAGAACAAATCTTTGTATCACCCAAAAGAAAAAGTTTAAACAAATACAGGAGTTGAAAGTTGACACACACATCACATAGAAGCTGTAAATAGTAATTCATTCCTTAAACAATCTCAATGACAATCTAGACTAGTGGTGGTCTTAAATGAATGATAGCCAATGCTGTATAACTCATGCATCATGAATTAGTGACCAGAATCTTCTCTAACCTTAGTACCAAAAGGACCTTCAGGGTAGTTAATGTCAAGGAGCTGTTTCCCCTGTTAACGAAACAACAGAAAAACACACAATCAAAACATACATTAATCAATCCAATTCCTATGTACATGTAATAACTAATAACTGAAGATAAAGTAGGAGAATGATAAACGATGACAGAAGACAAACTTCGAGCTCGGCTTGGATCTCTTCCCGTTCATGACCCGTGGCAATTGGCATCACATCCTCGACTCGCATTTTGGGAACAACGTTTTCTACACCGCAAACGTTCATACAGATATTCAATTCTTCTTTACCAGAGAGAAACGCGTAAATCTATCCCCCAAAGAGGTCGAATCGTGATATATAGAGGAGGCTTACCAGCGACAGCATTGAAGCGGCGAGGCAATAGAGTAACTGACGGTCGGAGAACCGCTGCGGACGGAGACGAAGAAACTGCGCCGTATCTGGAGAGTTTCGGAGAGGATCGGAGCAGATCGATGGAGAGTCTTCTCCACATGGTGGCGCTGCAGGAAGCTTTTAGTCTAAGATGAACAGGTGCGACGTGATCTCAGGTCGACCCTTCCGAGTAAGATCGATTCCACTCCGATTTCGGGTGAGCTATTTCTGAGGTCTTGTGGAGGTTGATGGCCTTGAGGGATTTGTAAGGGAAATGACAATTACTAGTGAAAACATCACTTTTGCTAGTAAAACAATAAAGAAATGATCAGATGTACTCCCTCCCTTCCATATTTAACTCCGGTTTTGAACGGACACGAGTTTTAAGATAGTGAGATTTGTGTGATGGAGAGTTATGCAGATGATAGAGAAATGTGTAAGAATGCTTGTGAACCACATATTCTTTACCAAAAGGGAAAAAGGAGATAAATTTGGGACGGACCGAAAAGGAAAGAATGAAGATAATTCCGGGACGGAGGGAGTATAACTTATTTTTAGATGTCCATAGATATACAATGTTAACTCTTTAATCATATCACTAAAATAAATCTTGAAAAAATGACATGAAAATTACTATTCAGCTTTGCATTTACAAAACTATAACCCATTTTGGATTTTCCAAATACTACCTCCGTCCCTCTTATATTGGATCGGAAGAGAGTAACACGATTATTAAGAAAAGTGGAGTTGTGTGATTGATATTAATTGATAAAGTAAGAATAAAGTAAGAATGATTTAGAACCACACAAACTTTACCAAATATGGTATGAGACAATTTTAGTGGGACTTCCCAAAAAGGTAAAACGGGACAATATAAGAGGGACGGAGGGAGTATATGACTTAGCTTGGCCCGTTCGTGCTTTTAATGGATCATATCATTCATATGAGTGGCCTTTTCCACTCAAGTAAATGAGTGACCTAGATGGATCATATATAACTAGAAAAACCTAGCTTATCAAAGACACAAATTCAACCTTTCTTCATTTGAGAGATAAGCTTCGTCTCTCTCAATCACTTGCCGACCCTCCATCAGTCGCCGACCAATCGCACTCCAGCCGCTGACACCCCACCGTTCCACCGCACGTCAGCCCCCGCCGCACCACTCCATCTCTTCTTCTCATTCTTCTTCGCCGCTGCGTCTGATACCCGCCTTGTTTCACGAGCGATGGTTAGGTAACGATGGCTAGGCCAACGACGGCTAGGTGACATTGGCCAGACGAACAACGGCGTTGAACGAATCTGTGATTTTGGCGGCCATTAAAGTTAGGATGGGCGCAGTGACGAGCTGGCGGCTAAGGTTACAGGCGGTGGTGCGGTTGAGGCTTGGGTGGGAAGTTGGGGCTTAAGTGTGAGGCTAGGGTCTGGGGCCCTTTATCTGGATGGGCTGGCCGGGCAGGTCTATGGGTTGGGGTGGCATAGGGTTGGCATGTGGGACAATACTAGGGTCTGACGGAGCAGATCTGGGGTGGTATGTGGGCGAAAGTCACTGGCGGTGTCTCCGGCAATGGTGACCGGAGTTGGGTGGCAGTCACTGAATTAGTGATCGGAGTTGGGCGGCGGTCACCAGCTAGTGACCGGAGTTAGGTAGAAGTCACTGGTCAGGGACCAAAAGTCACTGAGTCAGTGACTGGTGTCGGCGGCCGTGCCGGTGGCTATAGAACATCGTCACTTATCAAATCATATAAAAGAAATTTCGTATATTAAATACTTTCGTATAAAGATAAATAAATGACTGCTAGTCACACATTTGCAAATTTTTAAAAGAGTTCATATTTTTGTCTTTCCTGCTCATTTTAGTAATATCTTTAAAAAAAGACCATAAATCTTTGGCTAATGGTTTTCATATTTCTATTAATTTTTACATGTATGAATCTTAAATAAGCGGAAAGTATAGTTTTTTGATAATTTATATGTGAACATATACTTAGACCAACTCCAACAAGCACCATTTATCACACCAAAATGGTGTATTTCTCAAAAAATTGCTCCAACAGCCACTTCATTTTCAACACCGTTACACCAAAATGGGGGAGAGGGGGAGAGTTCACACCAAATATGGCGCACACCAAATGTTCCACCATTTTTTGTTTTAATTTTTTTTATTTCAAAAGTGACCCAAAGTTTTGATTGTTATAGTTTTGACCCATTTTTAAAACAACAAATTAGGATGTTTTTACTTGGACTGAAATTGCTGGTCTGCTCTAGTCTGGTATGATTTGATCTGATCTGAACTGATGTGATCAGGTTTGATTTCTTTATATTTTTATAACTACTCAAGTTTGGTCAATCCGGTCTGATCTAATCTGGAACAAATCGCAATCCAACTAAAAACCTCCGTATAAAACAAGTAATTAAAATTATTAATTTGATAGAAAATAAAAAAATATAATTAAATTTAAATCACACAATATTATAAATAGAGTTTCAAATCCAAACAACATAATAATAGAATACAAATGATATTTAAGAAAATTACATAATTAAAATTACAATTAATAACACCATTATAATTAAAATTAAAACATAATTAAAAACATACATAGTACATACTAATTTAGAAATTAGTAGTCATTCAACCCGCTTCTTGACCCTCCAAGACCATCAAATTGATTCCCAAATGCAGTTGATTCCCAATTATTATTATTTTGTAAAATTTAGAAATGACGTGCAAATTATTATAATATTATTGTAATATTAATTTTATGTGGTTTTAGCTTGTATTTGCGAAATATTGATTATTGTATTTTAATTAGTTAAATGCGTCAAAATGCATATTAAAATGGTGTATTTTAGTTTGTATGTGTGAAATAATGTGTGAAATGTCAAAATATGAAATGAGGGGCTAATGTATAAATATATGATAATTACATACTTAAACAGAAGAATGGTAAAAAGTTAGTAAAAGATTAAAAACAGAATATTCCTTATTGGTGTTTAAAATGGTGTAAACTGTTAGAGGTAAAATACTGTATGATGTGATGTTTACACTATTTTAGTGTAAAAAATGGTGTAGACTGTTGGAGATGGCCTTATAGCCCGTTTGAGAATATTGTTTTTCTAATTATCAATCTTTTGAATTGATCTTTTCATTAAATGCTCAACTTTTTATTTTGCATGTTGAGTTGGGTAATACTACGTAATTAAAATAAGTAAAACTGAAATCACTATTATAGATGATTTGGCTGAATTTCTTGAACAATAATGCTCCATCTTTATTTTCTTGTGATTTTTCCTTTGCTTTATTCATAAATTATATTTTAAATATGATTTTTTCATAATTCAACCAACTCAACTATTTCAGACCGGATTTCATGAACTTTTATAATTTAGTTGATTCGTGATGTTTTTACTTGGACTGAAATATGTTGGTCTGGTTTGGTATGGAACTGGAAAAAATCCAAGTAAAAACATCCTCAGTCAATTTCAGTTTTACAAAAAGGCGTTTACTTTACTATAAATTTAATTCAATATTGAGTATATTTTATAAAATATTATGCATTTATATGAACAAATGGCTGTCAATTTTTTTGCTCTTATTTTTCTTATTATCAATTTAAATCATACGCAATCTTGTTTTCTTCATAAATGTAGTTTCAAGAAAGAGTGCATAGGAATGATAGGATATTAGAGTTTTTTTCACTTTTGGTCCCTGACTTTAGTGGCTGGGACAATTTTAGTCCTCGTCTTTTGTTTTTCCCAGATTTGGTGCACAATTATGGAATAATTCCCAGTTTTGGTCCTCCGGTTGATTTTTCCGGCCAACTATGCAAAACAGTCTTTTCCTTCTACTCACACTCATCCCCGTTATTAGCTATTAATCCCAAAACCTACTGCCTTTCCTTCAGTTTGTATGAAATGCTATGATGGTCTTTTTAAAAGGATTACCTTAGTAGATATATGTAATCATTACTATTGTTTTATCACACCTATGTATCTTTACTACGCAGTTGGTCGGAAAAATCAACCGGAGAACCAAAACTGGGAAATATTCAATAGTTGTGCACCAAATCTGGGAAAAACAAAAGACGGGGACTAAAATAGTCCCAACCACTAAAGTCGGGGGTCAAAAGTGGAAAAAGCTCTAGGATATTATCACCGAGTATATGATTATTATTTATAGCGTAGTCAAATTTTATAATTTAATGGTGGTTAATATTTGCAAGAAACAGCATGTTGATTTATTAGAAGAGTTGTTTTAAGTTTACGTAAGATACTTCTAATTAGGGGTGGGCACGGGACGGGACGGGACATGAATTAGACTATCCGGGTACCGAACCCTATTTAGGATAACGGGACAGAACGCGATGGGACAAGACATTGTCCCGTTGTTGTCCCTTTTAAACCGGTACCGGAAGAGAACGAGACGGTTCGGGACATCCCAAAAAAATTGCAACGAAAAAAATACAGCTCCAAAATAAACTTCATGACAAAAAACTACAACACTAAAAATGCAACATAATTTTTTTTACGATAAATGCAACACAAAAAATAGTAGATTAATAGGATAGTTGCACGAAACAAACTGTAACAACAACAATAACTCCAACACACACAATACAACTAAGAAACTGCAAAGATAAAAAAAGACAAACAATATCATTAGAAGTGAAACATGTGGAGTATACATGAGTTTCCTTTTAGTATGTAGAAGACAGTTCATATACTTGATAATTTAGACTCATTTAGGTGTTTTTCATATTAGATAACTAATACCTAATTAATATTCATTAGTATTTGAATTGATGGTAGACTCACTAACCCACAACTATATACAATTTTGAATTCGGGACAACGGGACGGAACGGGACATATTTTATTTGTCCCGGTCCCGTTTTGTTTTGAAACGATTCAGAACCGGAACGGGACAATTTCAGAACGGAACCGGAACGTTCCGGAACGGACCAACGGGACCGGGTCTTTTGCCTCACCCCTACTTCTAATATTAAAAAAGTCCAAAAGTTGAATAACACTAACCCAAAATTGCGTGAGTAAACCAAGGAGCGACAAAATGAACTAGCATAAAGCTGGGGCTGGGAAACACCGTTAAAGTAGCAATTCATTTTTCTGAAGCAGTTAATACATAAAGATTTTTTTTGACACAGTTAATACCAGTTAATACATAGAGATTATTGAACTACGTATGAATTATTGATGTCCACTTCACAAATCTTTTTATTTATTAAAACAATACCTTGTCATAGGGGGTGGACTGTGCAGGTTCGGCCCGACCCGAGACCCTGCCCGGCCCGTTATTGTGCAGGCCTAGCTCCACCCGGACACCCGGTGGGCCGGAACCGGGACCCGAACTGGTACATTAATGTGGCGAGCTACAGGCTTGATAAATTGTGAATCAACCAGGGCGGGCCAGTCCCGATCCAGGCCCAATTACTTTTTTTTTTTTAATTTTTCTCATTGGGCTAGCCTCTAGGTGGGTGGGACTGGGCGGTTTGGGGGGTTTGGGGGTAGGGGTTGGAATTAATTCAAAAAGACCAAAAAAAATTAAAAACAAAAAATTGAAGCCCAGCCCGGTCCCAATACAAACCCGGGCCAATACCGGGCCTGAATATTCAATACCCGGACCTTGACACGAAGCCCGACCCGACCCGGACCCGGTCCACCCCTACCTTGTCATCACAATGGAGATTAGAGGGTATGAAATTAAAAGTCGCATCCCCCCATTTTACAAACACTTTTACATAAAGTCATAAACGTTCAACTAAAAACTTCTTTCTATTAAATCTACAAATTTAATTTCGTTTTTGTCCTATGAAAAGTAGAAAACAATGGTACATTATAAATCTTAATGCACTTACTTATTCTTTATTGGAGTCTTATTTGAACAATCAAGGAAAGATTAAAGATAGAGGTCTATATTTGACACTTTCTCTTTACGAATAACGACTATACGAAATGCCTTTATGCACATTTGTTTCTGCAGATACAATACGGTCGGTATTTCTTTTGTAAGAGCAGGATACTCTATGCATGCACTGATGCACATGTAGACTTTAAAATTAACCCATTAATTGAACTAAACCAATAACTTGACCTCTCCAACTCTCAAAGTTCTAACCTCTAAAGGAAATTTGCTAAGAAATATCATTTCATAAAGTAATTTGTTGAAGTTCCGCTAATTTAACCTATCAAACTGACTGTTTACATAAATAAAAAGCAATAAAGAAGGTGAACTTCAACTCTTTTATCCATTAGAACCTATCATTCATCAATAAAATTGAGCACAAATTTTATGAAATAAAAAACAGAAGATAACAGCGGATACCAAAAAAATAAAAGGCCCAAACATATTCGCGAAGGGACAAACCAATAGAGAATCATTTGCTTGTAGGCAGTTTGACTTGCAAATATACAATCACGAGAAAAAAAATACTCGTACAACCATAAAACATGTACTTTATTTTCACATTCTAAACCAACAACAAAGTGGCACACAGAATGGAACAAAATTTGGACTACAAGATCCTCACCAGCACGCCGCAAACCTATTTGTATTCCGCATGACTTTGTCTGGCTTTAATATTCTTGCTTGTGCACATCTGGCAGTGTGGGATAAATGCAGCACAAATCAAAGCAATAAACTTTTTAAAATCAAACATTCAAAGGAAAGAGAAGAAAAACACAAAATTTATTATTGCAATTCTTTCAGACGAAGAGTAAATTAAAGATTCTGAAATTCATTGAGACCAATATGATACAGAACAGTAGAACACATAAGAAGATATGAAGTAAAATGCTCTTAATGCAACATCAAGTACAACTCACTAAGCCTTGGATGGCCAAGTTGCTTGAGCCGACATGATTATTCCTACTATAACTCCAAAGAGCCCCAATGCACTTCCGAATATCTCAATCACCAGAATCTTAACGAAAAGTGTAGAGTTTTGTGCATCAGATAAAGCACAACTGCTTCCAATCACTCCAACGCATATCCTTTGTTAGAACAAGAGGTAAGACAATCAGAAAATGAATAGTAAGAGTGCATAATGTAAATGAAAAGGCAAAAAAAACATTCAAACCTACCCGCACACAAGATTGGCAAAGCCAACAATTATCCCTGACGCAAAAATTGCATAGCCAGCTGCAATGGACTCTGGTGCATGGATCTGGGAGGCAGGGACACTCTCAAGCTTTGTTTGGAGTATGATAGCCACAATGACACCATATATAGCAACTGCCTCACAAAAAATTACACTGAAAAGAGTAGAATATTATACCTACATAAGCTGATAAGATTTGCAATCGCACTGGAAATATCACAAATTAGTAATACAATTTAAACCCCAAATAAGTCCTTCCAATGCGCTAGAAATCTTACTATCGTCCAATTTGAAGGGAAAGCCAATTGTTTAATCTAGGTTGGGAAAGTGTTTCATGTTTTAACCATCACTAAAACTCGAAACTCCATTCAATAGTTTTTTTTTTGAAAGAAAACTCCAATTAATAGTTAACTTATGCTTTACATTGAAATTTCACAGTTCCTTAGCTAAAATAAATTTGGGATTGCATAGAAATATAAAAAACATAATGAATGGTCAATGAATGAAGATGAGATATTAAATATATATAAGTGAAAAGTGAAAAGTGAAATATAGGTCCCCTCCCAGCATCTGGAATCTGTAATTGCCTATGGTACCAAACAGGCAAATACTTAATTGGACGCCCCAACTACAAAAAAGGTTCAATTCCTCCATTTGGAGTTTACATCTGGCTTCAAGGTTACCTTTGTCTATGTGGCAACGTAGCTAGTTGGTTTACTAAAATGCGGCAATTTATTTGAGTAGAAGAATCCAATTATGAAAACAAATCAAATATGTGTGGGTAAATTTAAAACATGAAAGTCAATGATCCTAAAAACACACTCTAAAAGGCCATACTCCAGATGTTCAACTGGAGAAGGTCCATTCAGTAATTCGAGTCTAGGTTTTTGTCATCATTAGTTTGAGACTTTGAGCAAGCCCCATTATAAATCTTAGTGTTCTTGTTCATCTTCTTTTCTTATTGATTGTTATTGTTACACAATCACTCACGATTAGGACCTCAATTTTAATGCAGCTCAAGAACTTAAAGATCCGTATTGTCAGATTTTGCTCAATAATTTATCATAAATTCTGCTGAATTTTGGAAATTTTCTTTTTTGGTGTATAGCACTATAGCAGATCAAGGGAAAAAGAAAGGAGAAGGACATAGACTAGTATGTTAAGCCTCACAGAAAGGTTTCGTCTTTCAGATTATCCCATGAAAAAATAAAGATGATACTTGCTATTTTAATATTTCAACCCCAAGAAAATGCCACAAATAGTCCCAGACTATTGTCGCACGACCTAATTTAGTCCCAGACTTTATATTTGCTCATATTTAATCCTTCACTTATATGTACATACCAACTTTAGTCCTATTTTGTTTGACAGTTTACCATCCGTTAATTAAGACACACTACCATTGCACAACATTCTGTTTTGGAATGATTGACCCACAACGTGCTCGTTTGGGAGATGCTCCTCTCTCAACACGTTGAATTTATTTCCTCCATTCATGGACTAAAGCACTCTTTGATTTGTTCTTCATAATTAACGCTTGATATTCGAATCACTCTACCAACAACAACAACAACAACATCCAAACCTTAATCCCAAAAGAATTTGGGGTCAGCTAACATGAATCGATCTATGATATCGATGCCAAAAAGAGAAGACGGACAAGAAAAGGAAAAAAAAAGTAAGATAAAATGAATAAAATAAAGATAAATAAATACTTCCTCCGTTCCGTAAAAGTTGCAACATTGGAATTTATTCACTATTCACACACCTTACTTTGACTACGATTTTCTAATAATATATATAATAAAAATATTATGTATAAAATATTAATAAATTTGTAGTAGTGTAAATTTCCAATATATTAACTTTTTTTAATGTTTACTAATACGTAAATAAATATAATTACAGTCAAAGTTGCGCGTTGGCAAACATGAAAGTCAAATTGTTGCAACTTTTATGGAACGGAGGATAGTATAAGATAACAATAATACAAGAATATAACAAAGATAAAACATAAAAAATAAAAGAGCATAAAAAAGATAGAAGATAAAAATAACATAAGAATATAAAAAGATAAGGAAGATAAACGATAAAAGAAAAAAGAGAGGAAAGGTAGACAAGAAATCAATCGTCCACACGTATGTGCGCCCTCCACTTTGCTCTCTCCAAAGTCATACTCTCATCCAACCCAAGAAGACGCATATCAGTTCTAGTTACTCTAATCCAAGTCTGTTTGGGTCTTCCCCTCCCTCTCTTCTCTGACTCTTCTCCCCACCCCTCAAGTCGTCTAACAGGTGCATCACTCGGTCTTCTATGCACATGCCCAAACCACCGCAAACAAGACTTCTGCATCTTATCTTCTATAGGTGCTACTCCCACCTTTTGTCTGATGACCTCATTCCTCAAGCGGTATTTTCTGGTATGTCCACACATCCAACGCAACATACGCATCTCTGTCACACTCATCTTTTGAATGTGGCATTGCTTCACCGCCCAACACTCTACGTCATACATTAATGCCGGCCTAATTGATGTACGATAAAATTTACCTTTCAGTCTAGTCGACATACCTCGATCGTTTAGAAATCCTGAAGCACTTTTCCATTTCATCCACCCAGCTTTGATTCTATGGCATACATCTCCATCTAATTCACCATCCTTCTGAATTATGGATCCCAAGTAACGGAACATATCACACACCGGTATCTCCTTACCATCAAGAGTAATCCCACTATTGCTACTGCTTCTACCTCCACCGAACTTGCACTCCATATACTCAGTCTTGCTTTGGCTCAGTCTGAAACCCTTGCTCTCCGATGTTTGTCGCCATACTTCCAACTTTGTTTTAACACCGGATTGTGTCTCATCAATCAATACAATATTGTCGACAAACATCATGCACCACGATATATCTTCTTGAATTGACCCCAAATTCGAATCACTCTACCAAATTCGAATATTTGCAAACTATGGCATCCATCACAACGTCAACGGCCGTGCCTCTCTCAGCAAACCTCTCAACTCCAGTGGCGCACCCCTCTTCAAGATTGTTGCCTTCTTCTCATTCTCGAAGAAGAAACAGACGGCTCCACCCAAGAAGCCCAAATTAAACCTTCTCCTGCAAAGAAGAGCTTTCCAAGTGGTATGGGCCGGGCCTGATAGAAGAATCTTTCTGCCGGAGGGACTTTTGGACAAATCACAAATCCCGGAGTGTTTGAGTGGTGAAGCTCCTGGAGATTATGGTTATGACCCTTTTGGCCTTAACAAGAAACCTGAAGACTTTACCAAGGATCCAGACCAGACAGTCATCTTGAAAGTGAAGGAGATCAAGAACGGGAGGTTAGCCACGTTCTCCATGTTGGGATTCTTCATCCAAGCCTATGTGACCGAGCAGGGACCTGTGGAGAACCTTGTGATCCACTTAGGTGACCCTTCTGCCAATAATCTGCTCATTGTTATTGTTGGATCAGCTGAAAGAACTCCTACCCTGTAATTTTCTTTTTCTTTCCAGCGCTCCCCCCCCCCCCCTCCATTTGTACACCCACATTTCGCATGATGGGCTGTGAAGAAGGAAGGAAAGAAGCTGTGTTGGAACTTGTGACTCTAAACATCCATATTTCATCTTTCTCTACACTCTGACAAATTATAATGTTCGTGATGGTTCACCTACTAACTTGCAATGAATTCTGAGTTCAAACAAAAAATAAAACTTGTTACAAACAATCTGAAAATACAAATGAAGGCCTTCATTCAGTAAAACTTCAACTCCAAACTAGAACCTTTCTAACCACGTACATGGCACATGTCAGCATTTGTCTACTCTTAGAATTTTTTATTCTGCCATATGAAGATCACAAAAGCAATGACCAGTGTGAGCAAACCAAATATGGTCTTTTCCTTGCATTTGGATTCCCTAAGATCTTTCGGCAGCCTCATAAGTTCATGAATTCATCTTCCATACGTACGTTGGGTATTTTGCAGGCAACTTAAAAATAATTTTACCATAGTGCCCTCTTAGTTAACGGAGGTAGGCGGTCAAGGTGTTTTAGGACTAAAGTTGGCAAAGTAATGAGACTTGGGGGTTTATTATGGTGATATAGAAAGAGCAGGACTGAATTGGGTATTGTTACAATAGTCTGGGACTATTTCTGGCATTTTCTCTTTTAACCTCCCAAAAATAGGTAGTATATGTCCAATAAAGGTAAAAGGTGAAAAGATTGATAAAAGTATGAAATGGGCAAGTAAAAAGGTAGTATAATTCAAATTAAAAAATCGTTCATGTTTTAGGATAAGCTAAAAAGGATAATGTTTCTTAGAAGATGGGATTGAGGGAGTATCTGAAGTCTTAATGCCTTGTGTTCTAACAAAGACACTAACGGCCTAACGGGTACAGCATGGCTTTACAAAAACATTAAGGATAATAATACAACAATGGAACAAGAAACCTGATAATATATTCTAGGCATGAATGAGGTTCGCTTTTATAAATGTTTCATATCAACCCTTTAACATAGTGACTAGTTGACATGATAGAATTTTTGAGATATAAATAAGAATAAAATCAATTTTGGTTGCTTACTTGCTCATTGAATTTCAACTATAGAAGTATTCTTTTTATGAGATTATCTAGTAGCTAACAAGTGTTGTAAACAAATTCTGTGAATGAGAACAAATTGTCATTAACACCACAACGAACAGTGTTCCATCCCAAGAAGAGCCAAAAAAAAGTTATATGTAGTACAAAATATCATCCATTTGAATAATCCACTCAAGTACTCAACGTATGGAATTTGTTATTTCATATACATGGATTTGTCTCTTACAGTAATTGTGATAATTTCATCATCGTGACCACTGTCAGATCATACGAGCATCCCTCACATCACGCAAGAAGAAAATTAAGCCATTTAAAAAAACAAATGAACTTAGGCTTCAGTTCCCTTCATCCATGTTGAACTAAAGAACTTCTATTTCTTGTTTCCACTCAGTAAGTCTACCACTGGTCCCACTGTAAGCCGGCATTAATGATGATGAATGCTGAGCTATATAGAATATTTAACAAGATGTCCCAAACATATTTGCTCTTTTTAACAAAAACTAATTAACTATTTAGCATTGTGATAGTTGTTCCATTCGGGATAGACATTTTCCAATGTGATGTTGCAGTCTCCATTGTTCATGAAGGTGAATTAATTGAAATAGAAACTAACTATTTATAAAAAAAAGTGTTCCATATGAGAATTTAGTGAAAACGTTCACACAAGGATCCTCTAAAATTGTTCCCAAATATTGCAATAACAAGGTGATTAAATGGAAGAACAACAATGAGATGTGCTACTGAAGTGGGTGTACAAGGTACCGCAGTCGATCTAAAAACCAAAGCGTTTCTAACGGAATTTTCTTACGAGGGGAAACATAGTGCAAACATCAAAAGAGATACAGAACTAAACTTACCTGATGAGATTTTTGGAGGTAATGCGAGGAGCTTTGATTGCAGCGCCAATCAAGCTACTTCCGGTTATATAAATCCCCCTAGATGAAAATTTAAAATTCAAATAAGTAGTGAGGAAAGGGAAGCATCTGGAACTCGACATTCTAGTGAATCAGAGAGGGCGAAATAGAAGATGACATTTACCAAGCAGCTCCTAATACTGAAACGCCTATGGAGATGGCAATACCGATAGCTGAAAAGGTGTAGGGAGAGATCTGCGTCAACGCTCGCGACCAGGAGCTATGATCCCCAGCCATCGTGGATCGGAAGTTTACGAAGTATGTACACAGACGGCTTTGCAGAATTGAAGGCTTGCAGCGCTTGGGCAAAACGGCAGACTTTAGACTTGGGAAAAGGGCAAAAAAATGACACTTACTCAATCTCAAATAGGACATTGAAGTTACATTTGTCCACTCCCTCACGGATCACCAAATAGACTTTAGTGGAAATTACCGGAATGGACTATTTTTATGTGGCACATATCATTTATGGCCCAATTGTTTTATCTTTTCATTTTTAACTTTCCTGTTTTCAATTTTGTTTTTTTATTTCAAATATAGACCTTCTTTTCGTCTCGTCACCGTGTAACCCTGTCGGTGAAATTGGGAGAGCCGGAGGGCCTGGAGAAGGGGATTTCATGGGTGGGATTGGGCATAACCGACGGGGCTATGTTCGGATTCCTCATCCCAGCTTCCTTAACTAGCTAGGCAATCTATCCGGTGGTCTCCAGGCTCGGAACAGAAAGCTAAGGCTTCAACGTGTTTATGATGCAGATCACAGAAAGCTCGCCCAATTCCTAGATAAATTCCGATTAATATTGTTGTAGTGCTGCTTTTATGAGAATTGAAGATGCTACTACTCAATCAAGTGAGTTATTCATTCAATTTTCTTCATTACTCTTTTATTATTCATTGAGCTCTCTATATTTACCTAATTTTAAAATGTTTGCTCCTATTTCAGTATGTTTGCTTGCGAGTCTCATTCTTAGGATAGGAGCAACAACATTTTAAGCTTTGGAGGTCATTCCAGTAAGGATGTGAGTCAGTTAGGCACACTAGTGCAAATTCTTCGTTCTTCAGCTAGTGCCTCCACTTTGACTTTTTAATTTTTATCTTTTGATTGTTTTCTATATTATCAATGTTATGCTTTATATGTTAAGTCTTAATATCCTGATTCTAGCATTTTCAAATTAGGTAACTTCGTATGAATAAATTTATTGTTTTTCCTCTGTTTGTATTGTGTCATGTGTAGGGTTATTGAATGCTTACTTGTGCATTTTGACATATTTAATCTCACTAAGGGTTGTAAATTTTAATACAATTTGCTGGTTCATTAGTGAGATGCTTGTTCTGTGACTGTCTTGTAGTAAAAATGAAGTTCATATCAATGCCAAATCTATTGTGCTCACTGAATTTGTAATATCAATTCGTTTTTGTCAAAAAACCAAAGAGCATATTGTTCATGATTCTTCTACTTGCTATACATAATCATGAGCAAAGTGAAAGAACGAAAAATAGAAAGATGATAAAAAGACTATTTCAATTTCTTTTCTGTTTTTTATCTATTATGCAACTAGCAGTTTTATTAGGTTTGCAAAACAAAAAACATAATATGGAATTGCAAAGCATGAAAGCAATGCATTGAAGAATACCATATAGCCAATGGTCTACTTGAATATTAAAGAGAAGATTAACTCAAGTATTAAAACTGGGAAGAGTGAATCTTCATACCAGTCCGTTCATACGGTAAATTTTGATTATGACAGTGGGTAGGCAGGTTTGTTACACAATCTAATACTATTAATTATTTAGGAGTGGGACTTGCTTATGAAGTCCAGAAACTGTCAAAATAAATTGGATTTGCTTTAGTGAGTAAGTTATCTCATGGCTGTCCTTTCGTAATAGAGATACAAATTGTTCTGTACAGCTTAGAGTTCACTACTTTATTATGGTTCATTTATTCTTCACTTCAAAGATTACTATATTACAGGGAAGAAGTTCTTGCCATCAATAGACATGGAGAATGAAAAGCAACGGTGTAATGGTATATGAATGCCCTCCAGATTGGTAGAAATCGAATGCCTCTTCGATGAGGCACAATAGTGGCATACCAAAACTGGTGCCAAAGGGGTGACATAAGAAGAAGAATTTATAAGAAGCCGATTCGTACAATATAATAGATGAATGTAGTAAATTGAAATATTAGATTAAATTGTATATTTGCTGTGATATTTTATTTTTTGTTGCATTTGTTGCATCTAATACATTGCATTTTGTTGCATTATGTTGCATCATCTTGAATCTTGTTATTTTTTGTTGCATCGTGTTGCTTACTATCATTTATTGTTAATTTAATTTCTTACTTGGTTTATTTAGGTTTATATTTATCTATGTTACTTCCTTAAAATCAAAATATCTACATACATTTATATATGAACACCTAGAATGCTGAAGTTGGATATATGAATATAAACAACAAATAGAAACATAAAGAAACAAAAAAAAAACAAATATTTAAGAATAATCAACAAAAAGAAACACAAGGAAACAAAAACCAAAAATAAAATAACCTAAAAAATTTAGTACATTAAGAAAAATGAAATATTAGATTAAATTGTATATTTGCTTTGATATTTTATTTTTTGTTGCATTTGTTGCATCTAATACATTGCATTTTGTTGCATTATGTTGCATCATGTTGAATCGTGTTATTTTTTATTGCATCGTGTTGCTTACTATCATTTATTGTTAATTTAATTTTTTCTTGGTTTATTTAGGTTTATATTTATCTATGTTACTTCCTTAAAATCAAAATATCTACATACATTTATATATGAACACCTAGAATGCTTAAGTTGGATATATGAATATAAACAACAAATAGAAACATAAAGAAACAATAAAAAACAAATATTTAAGAATAATCAACAAAAAGAAACACAAGGAAACAAAAACCAAAAAAAAAATAACCTAAAAAATTAAGTACATTAAGAAAAAATGCATTGACAAAATTCATTTCTTATTTTTAAATTTTTTTTACTGTTCATTATGTTTTTTTGCATGTTTTTTTCTACGTATGTTTTAATTTTACTCACTTTTAGGTTACATTAACTTCTGATTTTTATGATTTTATGTTGTGTATTTTTATTTTTTATTATATACATTTTAATTTAAGCTCTTGGATTTTTTCGAATTTTATATATTTATTTGATATTTTATTATTATATTTTCCATTTTCTAAAGTATACTTTTTCAAAAATTCTTCTAACTACTGTTCATATTATTTATCATTTTCGAATCTTTTTTGTAATTTAATTTTTTTTTATAATTATTAGGTTTTATTGTTTTTTGCTTAGTGTATACATTTATTATTAAACTTTTGGTTTTTATATTTTTTTACAATTTCCCCCCATTTTTAACTATTTTAAACATTTTATATGTTTGTTTTCAAGTTTTTATTTTTAATGTTTCTATATTTTTTATTTTCTGATTTTTTTTACAATTTTAATTTAGTTTATTTTATTTTTTGATTTTAATTTACATGTTTCAGATTTATTTTCTTTTTTATTATTTACTTATATTTTTTATTTAGTCCAAAAATCAATTTTATTTGTTATAGTATTATTGTATTCTCAGCAGTATCATCTTTTTAAAATTTTTACAATTTCCTGTTTAAAAAAAATAATTTTAGTGCTTGTTACATTTTCTATTAGTTTTTGAAGGAGAGGATAGTCATTTGTTCCTCACGTACACCCACTTAGTTCCATACTTCCACCAATCGATCCTCACGTGCACTCCCTCAGGAGAACACATTCCAGTAGCTAACCGTGTTTAATAGGGATGGTCTATTTTTGAAAGGAAATCTTTAACTAGCCTATATTTGAAATATATTATAAAAGGTGATAAAAATGATATTATTTTCATTTTTAGTCTATTTGTGAAAATTTCCCTATACTTTAACAATCCCTTCGTTAGTTGATTTTGGATTTGGATTTTGCAAATTTGAAAATTGGAAACAAGAAAACAATGACTGGATTATTATTTGGGTTATTGGGAATTTGGGATGGGGTGGATTGGGCCGTTTGGCAGTTTATGAATGAGGAATTCTATTCACACAGCCACATATAGTTACTAATTACAGCAATTAATTTTTCCTTTTTTGACAAGAAAACTGGTCATTTATTAAATCAAAGCATCGTTTGCAACATGACTTACAACATAATGGGAAAAAGACTTGAATAGGAGTAAAACAAGGTTTAGGAACGTAAATAAGAGTCCGAACTTTTTAAGACCTAAATACGACTAATTTTTAACGGAAGGACAAAAACACCCCTAAAAATGATACTGCCTGCAAATCTTACTTGCTGCCATTCTGCCATCATACGGAGCACAATATGCGAATCTTATGTTCTGGAGCACAATATGCGAAGGAGCGACGAAAGATCGAGCTGAGATCGGCAGAAGAAAAGAGCCGAGTTCGAAGAAAGAAAAGAAGAACGGGGCTCGTCGACTACTCCGGAAACCACCAGCGGCAGGCCACTCAGGTGGCGGGCTGCGGCACACCGGCAGTGAAAACCGCAATCTCTAGTGGGCACCGACAAGAAGAATTACTGCCGGTGTTCTCCAATGGCCTTCCTCTTCCATGAGAAGAATTACTCCAGGAGTATGTTTATGACTCCAATGGCAGCTGTTGAAGGAACGTCAAAACATGTTAAAATGGTAAAATAATGACACTATGTATGTCACTATACTTTAAATATTATCAAAATAAAGTGAAAATCATCAGAATGTCTTAACAATGTCAATACTTAACAATGTCAATGTTGCAGCAATGTCAATGATAATGTCATAAGAATGTCAATGACAATGTCATAAGAATGTTAATAAAAAACAATGTCAAAGACAATGTCATAAGAATGTTAATGACAATGTCACAAGAATGTCAATGACAATGTCGTAAGAATGTCAATGACAATGTCATAAGAATGTCAATAAAAAACAATGACAGTGACAATGTCATAAGAATGTCAATGACAATGTCATAATAATGTTAATGACAATGTCATAAGAATGTCATACGAATGTCAATGACAATAAAATACATTCCTTATTTCTTTGCTTTCAGTTTGTTCGTATGTACAGAGCACTGTCAAATAGTTTGAAGTAGAAGAGGGGAAAAAGAAGAAGAAGAGGAGGGGGGGGGGGAAGAATAAGAAGAAGGAGGAAGAGGAGGAGAGGAGAAGAGAGAACACAGGTTACGCAGCAGGGCCTTCAGCCGCACCGTCACACCGTCGCACCTCCACACCGCCGCACCAAAAATACTACCGCACCGCTGCAACACCATTTTAGCTCAGCACCTCCATTATTTTGACGGTGCTCTGCCTTGCTTAGCTGTGGAGGAAGGAGAGAGACGATTAGGCGAGGCTATTGTCGAGAGAT